CATCCCTACAGGTTGAGGACCACCGTCCCTACAGGCTGAGGACCACCATCCCTACAGGCTGAGGACCACCGTCCCTACAGGCTGAGGACCACTGGACCACCGTCCCTACAGGCTGAGGACCACTGGACCACCGTCCCTGCAGGCTGAGGACCACCATCCCTACAGGCTGAGGACCACCGGACCACCGTCCCTGCAGGCTGAGGACCACCATCCCTACAGGTTGAGGACCACCATCCCTACAGGTTGAGGACCACCGTCCCTACAGGATGAGGACCACCATCCCTACAGGTTGAGGACCACCGTCCCTGCAGGCTGAGGACCACCATCCCTACAGGTTGAGGACCACCTTCCCTACAGGTTGAGGACCACCATCCCTGCACGTTGAGGACCACCTTCCCTACAGGTTGAGGACCACCATCCCTACAGGCTGAGGACCACCGTCCCTACAGGCTGAGGACCACCGTCCCTACAGGCTGAGGCTGGTGGAGGCCCTCATGTGGACTGGCTACCCCTCACAGACCCACCTGTGCCATCATTCGTCATCCTGCTGGTGGACAGGGACAGGTGAATGCTTCTGGTTAAGACTAGTTGTGGTCAGAAGTTTACCTTATCGTGCATCACGTTCTTTTAGAGCTTTTGTTGCTTGTTTGATCCATTCTTTCTGCAGATTGGACAGATTACTTTCACCAAAATCTTTTAAGGACCCACGCCAATGGATCTTCAATTCATTTTGATTTGAAGAGACCTAGGCCAAGGCCTAGTGATCATGACTGACTGCTGCTGGTAGTTTCTCTTTGCCAGCCTTTTTCTTGACGCCACTCGCTGAAATGACTAATACTCTAACAGTTCAACTCTGTGAAGATCTAAGAACAGGGCTTAAGTTGAGCTAGATCCTGCTGGAACAAGATCCGGGAACTCTTTCAATTTGAAAGGGTGCATTCCAGTAACTGTTTACATGGATCCGGTAACTCTCAGGCCTTACTAATAATAAAGATCTAAACAAATGGGACTGCATATGCAAATTAGCTTTTGCTATAATCTGTTACAGTGCATCAAATGGTGACATTTATGTTTGAGTTGTACATTGTACCTTTTTACATAAAGTTAATTCATAGTCAAATAACTACCTTGAACAAATAAAACGTATATATAATTACATAAACACTCATTTTAAACACAACCACTTGTGAGCATACGATCTGCCTCTTAAAGTAGCATTTCCATGTCTACCCTTAAATCTGTGGCCCTAAAAGAGTGGTGGGGATGAGTGCTGATCTAACCAGGCAGGAGCCCACAGGCAGGAGTCCACAGGCAGGAGTCCACAGGCAGGAGTCCACAGGCAGGAGTCCACAGGCAGGAGTCCACAGGCAGGAGCCCACAGGCAGGAGTCCACAGGCAGGAGTCCTCAGGCAGGAGCCCACAGGCAGGAGTCCACAGGCAGGAGCCCACAGGCAGGAGTCCACAGGCAGGAGCCCACAGGCAGGAGTCCACAGGCAGGAGTCCACAGGCAGGAGCCCACAGGCAGGAGCCCACAGGCAGGAGTCCTCAGGCAGGAGTCCTCAGGCAGGAGCCCACAGGC